AATTTTCAGAGCTTTAGCGAATTTTAACTTAATTTGAAGATTAAAATTCCAAAGAGGTTGAAATTTCCTGCCTGTCTTACACGAGTGAAACCTCTTCCAACAATGTTTATACTGTTGCTTCTGAAGATTCAAGGTGATGCCAATTTATGTTTTAGGGTGCTAACTAACTGCCCCGTTATTATTTTGTGTGAAGGTTTCATAAGTAAATTATCAATCTATTGCTTGTGAAAGTAAGATGAGATCATTTAAGATGGATTAGTGTCTTCTAAGATCACGGATGGTTAATGGAGCTATGGTGGATTTTGGGTTTGATTATGCTAAGAATGATTCTTTGGGAATATAGACGATTCTTCGGTGGCAGTTTCATGACATGCATTGTTACTCTAACTTGTAAAATTTTTTGTCGTTTGGTTTCTTGCATTTATGTGGAAATTGTTTTTGTTAGAAAATACTTGATTAGTAATTTTTGGACTTTTGAGATGGCAGTTAGAATTGTTGACCCTTTTTGACTTGTGTTTCACTTCTTGGAGAAATGATAGATCTTGTGCAGATAAAATTCTGATGAGAACTCATTGTTGAGGTTCAAGAACGACATTGAGGTGTGAAAAGTGGTCTTTGAGTATCGTATTTCTTGAAATGTAGAGAATATGAGTTTTTGGAGAGAACTATGTGGAAGACAAAGTCTGTGGTGGGATATGATAAGTCTTTGATGAGGGAATTGAGAGTGATCCATATTTTTAATTTTTCTCACTTAATTTTTGTCTCACGTCCTATTTCTTTTGTCTATACAAAATTCAGCCATGCTCCTTGTGCAACTGGCAATGAGCCATATTTGAAAAGTCTAAATGGCAAAACAATTCCGTGTATATGTTGATCGCTTTCTCAACTGAAATCAGTATTCTTATCCAGGATTTGTCCTTTTTTTGGAATATTTGTTTTTTTATTAATAAAAGTATGTTTATCCTGCATGATGAGTCTCTGAAAGTTGTTGCCATCTTCTTGTGAACGTAAGAATTCTTTCTTATTCTTTGTCAAAAACCAAAAGGTCTTAATTCGGGTTTCATGAAATATAAATTGAAAATAGAGATAAGGTTGAAATGAGAGAAATTTTTTTTGAAATAAAGTGTGAAATTATATTGACATGGTACCGAACAACCAGTGGTATCGCCCCTATACAAAAGTTTTACAACGTAGTTAG